AAATATGCACTATACTGAAGTGCTATGCAGAAGAAGTTGCTTTTTCTTTATCCATTCTGGACCATAAGAGGGTGCGCAGTCTCTGCTTCAGTATTTACTGATGGGTTGAGGTTTTAGCTAGTTTTTCAATGCGTCATTTTACTAGAAGTGTTAGGAGACAAAGACGATAGGAGATTTAAAATCGGGTTTTTACATCGAATAGACGAATAAATTTAAATCAACTCCACACGTCATTCTCGTCACGATCTAACTCTTGATGGGTCGTTCGACTCACTTTCTGATATTTACTAATTTTGAAGGAAAATTAATACGAGTAAGCCATTTCATGTTCATGGAAGATATAAAACAGAACTTCTGCTTGTTTGTCTCGCTAAAAATTGAGAATGGATAGACTGGCTTGCCTGATTGGGAAGTAGAAATATTTTTGGAAGTTTAAAGAAGGCTTAGATGGAATGAAAGAATCAAAAAGTGGGCCGGAAAATTGAAAAAAAAAAAAATTTTATTATAATTATATTTTCACTTAATTGAAATTTTTTGGGAAGGTATATGTATGCCTATGAAATCCAACGCTCGCTCATCATATGCGTGTGAAACTCAACAAGTCGCACATCATACATACGTCCTACCAAGTCAAAATTTAATGAGTCGGCCCTAAAAATCTTTGAGATAAAAGTTTTGCGAACGATTTATGATTGTTTACGCATTGGCAACGGCGAATACCGCAGACGAAGAAACGATGAGCTGTCCGAGTTATACGGCGACACTGATTTAGTCCAGCAAATGAAGAGAAAGCGGTTATGGTTGGTTAAGTCATACCGCTCGAACAGTTGAAAGCACTTTAGCTTTAAAAGTATTCGATGCAGTAACCGCTGGAGGAAGCAGAGCAAGAGAAACACCTCCACTCCACTGCAAGGAGAGAGCGACCTGGCTTCACTTGGTATTTCCAATTGGCGCCAGGCCGCGAAAATATGAGACGAATGGCGCACTAATATTTGTTCGTTTATAATCGCATAATCGGTGCCAACGCCAATAAAGAAGAAATAGAATATTTATGCCTGGCTGACTTTATACAGCTCTTTAGTATGATGTTGACATACTGCGACTGCAGATCACTTTTAGTTTAGCTTTAATGTAAAATATCTATTACATTTTCGGTCATTTTACTGATAGAATATATTCGTTCGCGGTTTTTAGTAGCAATTTTCGGCTGTGCTCCTCTTCCAACTTCAACTATGGGTTCGGCTCTTCAAATTTTCATTAAAAAGTCTCAAAAATTTATTTTATTAATTTACAAAAATGTCGATTTTATTCATTTGAGATCTTGGTCCTGCTTTTTTTACTACTAATCTTTTATTTTTTTAGATTTAAATAAATTTATCCATTGAAACATGAGCTGTGATTTAAGAATTGGAACACTACAAGAAACGAGGAATTTTTCAAAGGCGCGTTCGTTATGAGAAGTTTTTTTTTGATCTACTTTGAAATAAGTATTTGAAATGATTTCTGCCTCTGCCAACTCAGATATTCACTGCATCGACATTTCTATAGCATTTCCTTGCGTTCGCTCTCTTGGTGGAGTTGTCGCATTGAAATCCCCTTTGGGGCTGAGTAGTGTGGACATTGATTACTTTTAATTTCAGTAATCAACATTGTTGCTTTATGTCATATCTGACTAATGACTTCTGCGTACGTGCAAGTGTTGGTGTGTATGGGTGAGTCGCATGTGGGCTGCACATATCTGTCAATTCATTGGCAATGGCAAGTTGATGGACATTTAATATCGACATTTAATATCTGCACGCTGCACACTTTTTTCCTATAAGATTTCCATACTCTCACTGTCAATCAGCAACCAAGTGAGAAGTTGGCATTTGCAGTTAAGCAACAATGGACAAGTGTTGTTGTTACTCTGGCAAGAAATCAACTTCCTACTTCTCTACGTTCACTTGCCGGCGTGACCGTTAGCGGTATTCACTGAGGCGATTGGACTTGTTTTCTTAGCCGATTTCGCTTTTTCCTTAGAGTGAGTAAATTCCTGATTTTATATTTATACATTTTTTTTTTTGCAAAAACATTGTCGTTGAAGAATCATTTGCTTTTATATTATATATTTTATGTTGCATGAGTTGGCAACAGCACCTGCGTCATTGCACTTGTTCGTCGTGGGTTGTTTTTCTGCTTCTTTTTCTTTTGGGACGAGAGGAAAACCAAGGCCAATTGTCGAACCGTGACGATGACGATGAAGGTGTCTAAATATCATGTTGATTGCAGCAGTAGAAATTCTCGTTGTTGTTGTTTTCTTCATTAGATCCCTGACAATAGTCAAGTGCGACTTACTTACTCGGCTGTGCTTTGCAGAAAATGTATGTGATACAAATATACGTATCTCTATGTATATATTTAAACCACAAAAATGACAGTGGAAGTGTCATGCTTGCGGTCAGTTTCCTGCGGTTGCAAAGAATATTTGCATTGTCATCGCCACCATCAACCTCAGTCCCAGCGTCGACGTCTGCGTCGCCGTTGTCGTCATCATCATTACCATCAGCAATAGCGAGATTTGTCGAAGCGTGCTTGTTGCCATAGAAATCACTTGCAACAATTCCATTCCACACGTGTTGCATGCTTTACCTTAACGTCGACTTGCACCTTGCGCTTGCCACAAGTGCCTTAGCGGCTATTGCTGCAACTTAATTAAATTCGTTTACGGTAAATTCTGTTGGCATGCAATTTCACACACACACCGCTACACATAAAAGTGCAATAACTGCGCTATAATTTACATAAATACCTGCATGCGGAAAAACTAACATACGCACGCATACATACGTGTATGTACGAGTATATATGTATATATGTAACTAAACAACGGCTGCTTTAAAGGCAGCGTAAGGTATTTGTGATGACATTTAATTGCTTTGATGTTGGTGTTGCATGCAACGTTTGCCAATTTTATTCGCATTATTTTTTTTTCCATTTTGGTACTCAAGTTTGTGCTCATATCCGCCTGGAATCGATTTTACTTTGGTTTTCGGTTACGTTTTTCTGCGCCTCAACAATTTGCACCAATTTCTCTGCGGGCACTTTGATTTTCTTGCACATTTTACCGTTAACGAGCACATATTTACTATGTGAAAACACCGTTATTGGGGAATTTTTATTGCTATTAATCGGCATAAAAATGTTCAATCAATCCATCTGTTAGCCTCATTCTTACTATTTTCATTATTAATTCAGTTTTATAGTACTAAAATACATATAAATATGTATGTAGCCGTATGTGCACTAACGAATGTAGGTGTTTAAATGGAAGAGCGAAGAATTACTCATCGATTGAGGTGCTCAATTTGAAATTCTTTCTGGTATAAAAAAACACCAAGAGTCTTTTACTCGTACTAATAGCTCAATAATCAAATCATTAACCTATTTTTGTTACAATACTCTGCCAACTCGGCCACCATTTTGAAAAATCCGCTAACAGGCTTAGGCAGATCGACTTGGCCGGGGCTGAAAGTATAGATTTCTGCATCACTAGATTTCTGCTTAACAAAATTCTAGCTGTTCCAGATCGAAAAACTCAAAACCAAGTCGATCAATTTGTGTTTGACGAATGACATGTCTCCAGTGTTCTAGAAGTGCTTACATTCCGAGGTACTCACATCGACTTCGATCAATAGCATGCCCGAGGTGTCAAGTGCCTAATGCCTAGAGTAAGCTCAAAATGTTTAATTTTCCGATTATGAAAAAGTTTAAATCGCAAACGCTAGACAAAAAAGCAACAATGCCTTACGATTGAAATCTAAATATGCTCTACCCACTCCATCAAAAGATTAATCCTACAGTCCACGCCATTTAGGCAATATTTTTATAAATAATTGACACTAGGGAATTAACCGCTGAAACAAGCTCCTCTTCCAATTTGTGATGTGCGTCTTAATATATTCAAACAAATAGAGGCGCCTACATTCTATTCTGAGTCCCTACTGAATGGGCAATGCATTTTTATGAAGAGAGTGAAGAGTTTTTGCCGAGGGATGACCACAATTACAAAAATTAATTTTTTTATTATTTGGATGTAGGGTCAGATCAAAAAGAGTAGTAGAAATGTTTGAAGAAATGTAAATTTTTTGACATTTTTGAACAGAATATAATCTCTGTTTGGAGAATATAAATTTTTTGAAATGTTTTGAAATTTTTGAACAGAAAAAAAACTCCATTTTGGTGAATGGAGTCTTCTTTTTCCTTCTCTTGATTAGCAAAAGCACTACGAGTATCTTCGCAATTAAGCCTTATCGGTAAAAACGCAGAAGTTGTTTATTACTCTCGAAGATATTAACCAATTAGAGGCTCCAAAGGGACCCACATCATTTTCCAAATTATCTTTGTAGAAGAATGAAGGCCTTCTTGTTCCTCAATGGTAAAAAAAACCAGCGAGCACTGCGTCGAATACATTTAAAGCAGGAGTGCTTTCCTTCATTCGAACGTCCTGACCTAATCAACGCTCAATTTTAACTTCCCGAATGATATCAATGTGACCATATACTTGTATTTCTTACAGCTCATCTTGCCTTCTTCTGCGATATGTAACAATATGCAAGAGGCACACAGAACCCTTCCCTTGAAAGGAGGACTATAATGATGAGTGAGTCAATTATATATAAAAATATTGCCTAAATGGCGTGGACTGTACTTGCAGAGTTTGGCTGTTTTCCCTTGCGAGAGGATTACGATTTGTCCCATGGAAAACGAGACTTGTTTTAAGATACCGAAATCATAATAAGCAATTATTGTTTTGTGTTCCTGGCGCTGACTCATTGCGATTTTATTACTGAAACGGCAAAAGATAGAGCTTAAGTGCTTACCTGTTTATTATGCATAACTTCGAAATACACTCCTTTCAAGTAGATTTTATTCAATAAATATTGGCAAGAAATTATGTAAATAGATTTTTAATTTTATTTTGGAAAATCATTCACATTCGAAACTTAATTACTATTTGCTTTAAAATAATATAAATGTACTTATTGTATAATTTCTTCTAGCCAAATATGAGTAAAACTAAAAGTATATTTATTTATTTTTTAATAAGAGATTTCCATTTACTTTTATTTATTTTAAATAATATTAATGCATTGCTATTTATTTATTGTCGAAATAAATGTCTGACGCTTTCACTCTCTGTAACCTTGTCGACTACAGTATTCATGGCATTCAGAGCGAAAAAATGAGACTTTATATGTATAAATCACTTAACTCTTAACTCAGTTATCGTGAAGTGTTCTTTAAATGGGATTATAATTATTTTAATGTTAATGAATAATTTTAAATTATTATGCTGTTAGCGTTTTCTGTTTTTGAAATTAATGTTATTCACCAGTAGATATCCGCAGTGAAGTTTTTTTTAATTAATTTTTTAAGTTTTTACTTAAAATTGTCTGCCATGACGTCCATCAAAGGCTCTGTCGTAGACCTTACACAGTGATTCTGTTCTGGAATTGGTTACGCTCTTAGTCATCACTGATGAATCTTTTGCCGTTTTATTGCCATTACGTGCGACGTAAGTTGGTGTGGTGGAACGTCTCTCACTGCTACTGGCATAGGGCTTTCGTCGACGCTGACGCAGGTAGGTCCAAATTGCGATAATAGCCAATTGAGAGAGCAAAAAGATGGTGACAGCCAATATGAGACCTGATAAAGGGCAGAAAAAATTACATAACCTAAGTAACTTGCTTCAATTATTGTTATTATTTTTTTTTTTTGCACATTTAGTGCTCTAAGCTAGTCTTTTAGCTAATAAAGTTCTTTCCATATTTGTTTTTTTTTCACTCTCCACTTGCTCTTATCAGCTACACGATAAAATCTTCACGCTACTGTTACGTCATTAAATTAAAATCTCATGTGCGATGTAATCTTACTTACCAATCGCATTAACACAGTATCCCAGCTCAGTTCCGCCGCCAATCACCATTTTATCGTTGTCATCAATTGTTGGTGTTTTTGTTTGCTTCTGTTGGCGCTGTTTATCGAAGCCAAATTTGTCGGTTATCTGAATTGATTGCACCAACAGCATATCCTCTTGACTAGGTTGACTGCTTGCGGCGTTGGCTTTAGCAGTGGCGCGTTTACTGCGCAAGCGCAAATGCTTTGCTCGGCTCAGAAGTTGTTTTTGTTGCTCCGCTTTAAGTTGTTGTTCATACAATTCATTACTTGTCTGCACTGAACCTATGAAAGGAACTGAAATGAAGGCGTGAGAAGGGCAAAAGTGGAAAAACGTTAGGACAGGGCGATAAAAGAAAAAAAAATATTAAGAGGAGAGAGAGTGAGAGAGAATTCAAAAGCGTTTTTAGACAAGGTGTGAACACATAAATAGTTTCTTTACACTTCTCTTACTACTTCAACTCACCCGTCACGTTCAGCGCACGCCGCTTTCTGCCATACGAGCTCATCGATTTCAATTCACCACCAATATCCTCTTGATTACACTGCACCGGCTCACATGTCGGCATACAGGGTGTGACCAACGCACGGAATTGCACCAACTCCGATGTGGGGAACTTGAAAGCATCAAAGTGTGCGAGTAAAATTTTACCCGATGTCTCACTCTTATAAATCGGACCCATAATAAACTGATCGGTGGGACAGCCATTTGAATCGATAAGCGTAATCTCTGCATTATCACTGCCATCCATGGCGACAAGTTCGCGTACAAATATCTCATAGGGACTCTGCGCGTCTAAAATTTCGAATTTCAATGCCAACGGATCGCCAACTTCAGCCGTGCGCAACACATCGCTGCCATCACGTGATGTGATCTTCATCAAGACATTCGGTGAGTCTACTATTACTTCCTCACTCAATGCTGGTTCAAAGTCATCCTTTATGTCCAACAACACTTTATTCGATACCGATTTGTTAGCCAAATCATATTGACAAGTAACTGCTAGACCCAAGTCTGAGGAGGTGACAATAGTGTCGTGATGTTGTATCACCACATCGTTCATATAACGTCCTGAATTGCTCTGACGCACATTACATTCGAGATTTTGATAGCCCATACGAATCTCGAACTCTAGGGAGTTCTTCACGTCCACAGCACAAGACTTCGGTGAACCTTTGGCGTATACCTTACCGTCGAAGAGTTTTGAGGTGCGTATGCGTGTTATCATATCGATGGCGCCACATTCAATTGTTACATTATAGCACGACGAGAGCTCGAAAGTTGTTGCTTCGGGTACTTGCAGATAGGGATCTTGCACGTCGATGAGTGTGATGCGACTGTGATGCGATAGACGGCAAACCATATCTCCGGTGTCACCGTAGTCGTAGGAGTGGCATCTGTGACGAAACCAAGGCCGAATGGAGTTGTTATGGGAAAATTAATGAAATGATACTTTTGTAAGGATATACAATTTATCTCAACGCCCTACGACGGCGACCTGCGAACGAATGACTGAATTAACGAATACCTGCATCCTGAATTCTCTGGATATTTTCTCTGAAGGCAATATTTTCCCTACCAAGTTGCCCCCACCATCTATCCACCCATACACACAAAGAAGTTGGGCTTATTAGTATGAGTTTCAACCAATATCAGTGTAACTGCACCATTGAAGTCAAAATCTATTGATATTGATGTGATCAATTTTTTACGACTGCCTTATTCAAAATATTTTCAAAGTATTTCAGATAGTAACGATCAACCGGAACTGTCTACCTCAGCCGACGGGCGCTAATGCAGCACATCGGCTTTATTTATCGGGTTCAAAACTCATACATATTGCTGAGCTTGAGTATGACCAGCACCTTTCACTTCAAACTTAATTAAGTAGTTCCACCGCATATATTGAAATATAGAAGGTGAGGTTAAGTTAAGCTGGCTGACCCATTGGTCTCACGTAAAGGAAATACATCCATAGTGTTGCCAGGCACGCTACACGCAACCAAGCTGTACTGCTACACTGCTATTTTGTCTCCAGTGAGAACATTGCTGTTCTTTGCGCTAACTTAAGTGATGTTTCTGGCCCCTTGAACATTGTCGATCGAAGATCTTGTAGATGCACTTGAATATGAAAATTTTGTATTATATCATTGAGCTGTTCCATTTTGTCAGTACTTGTTGCAGATCTCTGGTGTACGCTGACGAACTCAACAGAAATAGTTCGTCGAGAGAGAGTTCGGCTTAAATCAGGCTAAGCCGAAAAGAAACACACAGAAAAAGGCGGTAACATCATCACGAAGGTTGTTATAATTCTTTGGATCTTGCAAAGGTCTTGACTCGAAGCCATGACCATGCAAAGAAACGCATCTATTTAAATTTTACAATTCTTAAATACACCTATTCCTTGATTTGGGCACTATTATATGCTATCAATGGCAACTCTTAACTGAGTTGGCATCCTAAAAGCTAAAAGAGACAAGTGTGTCCTAAGCTGCCTCCATGCCTGCTGGGCATACATTTTTGGAGCGACCCTAATGCAAGGCATAATACTCGTGCATCAGCTCCAGCCTCTTTACATATCTAAAGGCACAAGAAAAAATATTATGGCATAAATTCACAAAAGCCATAAAAAATAACAAGCGTTGGCGGCGTCTCAAACGTCATGTTGCTGCCACTGAACACAAGAAATATTGACATTTTGATAAACGGGTATGCGCTATTATGGAACGTCAATGCAACCGGTAGTTATGCCGAGGGTCCCAGATGTGCCTAACGATTTATGTGCTTTTCCCATGCGCTGCTAGGCATACGAAGCCTAAGTTTGGCTGAATTGACTGTCAAAGCAGTATGAGGATGAGCGATTGAACATCAACCATTCAAGCGGTTCGGAGGTTTTGTTGTTCACTATTTTTTTAATACTTTTTTTGCGTGCATTTATTTTATTATGCTTTGTACTCATTTTGATCGCTTCTCACTACTGACAGCACCTGCTGTATTTATGCCTGCCTTTATGTGTATGTGTACATGTATATGTGTACATGCATATGTGTGTACATACCTGTATGGTGAGTTTAAACATAAATCACGACACTCATCAATGCTGCCAATATCCTGATATACCGAATCCACCGTTTTCAATATGCGTCCGGGCAAGCGCTTGAATTCACACAATTTATTTGGCTCATCAGCGCAATTATTCTCCAGATAATCGACGGTGTTTTGCTGCTGGAATGCGCTGGTGCCGCTCAAAGTAATACGATCCATTTCGGAGAGTTCACAAGTTTTTGTGCTACGATCAAAGTTGGCTGATCTGTGGGGAGAGCAGAAGCGTTAGACGGGGGAAATAGTATAAATTTATGCACATTTAATTTATATGGAATTTAGTGAAAAAAGTAATAAAAATAAATATATTTTGTGTTCTTCTCTTATGTATATAAAAAACTAAATGAAATGTTGTTGAGTGCAGCAACATGCCTTAGATTACGGTTATGGCCGCATTCAGGTATTCAGTGTACCTCAGCTAATGCCTCGTCATTTTAAGATTTTCGTAAAAATTGATCGCTCATAAATCTGTGTGTTGACTTGCTGCTTTGTGTGGCTTTATGTTTAGTACGTCATAATGCGCTGACTGATTTAGCTATTACAAAGCATTAACACGATCGTTCGATCGTTGAGTGGTTTGTGAAGTTTACTGAGCAGCGAATTGAATAGACACGACGGAGTGAGTAGATAAGTGTATTGAGGGTTTGTGTGCGAAAATCTAAGCACCCATTATAATCCAGTTTGTGTATTAAAAAGCAATTTGAAGTATTTTCGATTCGGTTGGATGTGTGCTTGTCAGGTGTAAATGTAAATACGCCCCAATAAATGCAGTATATTTAATAAATAATTACAAAGAGTAAGTGGTTATTATTAACGTGAGGAGTGAAAAAGTGTTGATGATTAATTGAATTGGATTTTTCGTTTAACTTAGTTGAAGACATATTATGCATTGAAATATTACACAAATAAATCGTACAGTAATTTCTTTTGTTATTTATTAATAAAATTACTATTTTTTAATAAAAAAAAAGAATTATAAATATAAAATTGTATGTTAAAAAATATATCTATGTAACGGGTTTTAATTTAAATCTAAAAAGTGCGTGACTTTGCTATAAATGTGCAATGCAGCCTAATTGTAGGCAACGTTCTAGAGTTATATTCATATTGATGCTTATTATTGTTGTATTAAAATTGTATGCTGTTAGGAGGATTTTGAATGAAAAATATATAGAAGACACTCACTCAATAAAATTACTAAAAATTTCAAACTTAAAGTAGTATTTTCAATATGTTCATAAATTTTAAAGTATTTGTACCGATCTTAGGATGTTTAACGTAACAGAATTTGTATCTTCAGCATTCTATAGATATTAAATTTGCTTTACCTGCACGTGAACTCCGCTTGACCCAAACACAACTGTATGCAATCACGGCGAGATGCTGCTGGAAATTTTCTTTTCGCATAACCATTCAATTTATAGCCTTGTACACGATCAACACTCCATGCGCGTGAGCAGGGTCGCACGTTGAGACAAGCCTTTTGAGCGTAGAGTGTGAACACGGGAAATTGAGATTTGGCGAGCGCACCTGAGAGGGATATGGAAGTAGATAATAAAAGTTACTACAAATAAAAAATTAATTATGCGCTTGGAAATACTTATTATAAATGAGTATTAGCTTAAATTTGAAATGAAAAATTATTCAAACGCAAAGTAAATTCAGAAATCAGTATATAACGATAAATTTCACGTTGACGAAATAATTTCAATCGTTTCGTTTTAAACATTTGAAAATGTTATCGTTGAAGCAGTTATCGAAATAAATTGAATCTCCTTTTTACCCGGAAAGAAATTCTTCTGGTAATGTTAAATAATTAATCTTGTTAATAACTTAGCTAGCAGCCCTTTTAAAAGGAGCACTAACGATGAGTTTGCGCGGTTCCAATTCATTAACAAAACCATTTCATTTTGATAACATGCCGCCGAAACGAAACAAATTTATGTCGGTGAGTTTACTTTTCGTACTAACAAACCGTCTTTCTGTTAGTTGAGCATCTCTGAGCTAGAGAAATTATTGCATTTATTTCTTAGTAGATTTCTTAAAATTTATTCTAGAGACTTTTAGAAGAACCGATTCATAAAAAGTATTTAATTATATTTCGATCAATCCGTATATAAATTAATTGCTTGCTTAAACATCTCGTCTACTAAATAAAAACATATAAAACTCTAATTCTGTAAATTTTTTTAATTTTTATGAGCACAAACCTGGTAATTTATCTGCATTCGCCGAGAAGAGTACACATAAACCGGTTTCGTAATTCGCCGAATGGCAAGCCGGATCTTTGCGACAGGCGTCCAGACAGTCGGTTAACATTAGAGTACCTGGCAGTGAGTTTAGAAGTTTGCCGGGAGCTGAGAAGACAAAGCTTTATTGGAAGAAAAATAGACTTTAGCTAAATTCTTAGAACCATTCAAAGTGAAATTAAAAAAATAATTGTTTTGCTTTCTATCTATATATGATTTAAAGAGCCTAAATTGTATTTATAGTGTTTGCTTTCCTTCCCGTTATTTTTGAGAGACTTCATTATTATTTTGAAAAATGTGTGGGGATCAGATTCAAAAGTTATATTTTGCATGTCGATCAATGTGATAATATATTTTAAAATGTTTCGCTGTTCGATTTTTTTCTAAATTATATAAATTTGTTTAGCCTTCTCAATTAGTAATTCTTATAAAAAGTTTATATTCCCTAAGAAAAACTTTCCTTACACTTACCCGGTTGTGATTTCGAAACCAATAAAATCATTATCGCATTCCTGAAAATTGCTGCCTTCATCGCCGTTAATAGAATTATCTCCGCCGCCATTGTCAACAAACTCAATCTCCTCATCGCCAATATCTATTTGTAATTCCTTGTTTTCCTGTTGTAATTGTTCCTCTTCCTTTTGTTTATCGCTGATTTGCGGGGAAGCGATCTTCTCAGTTAACAATGAGTCTTCTTCTGTAGCATTTTGAACACTCGCTACCACATTAGCGGGCTCTGCAATAGACTCTGCTGAATTGCCAATGAGTTGCTTTTCATCGGAACTGATTGGATTATCTTTAGTGTTTGCTTGCTTGTTGAATGTATCTACTGGTGGCTGTGCATTGACATTTTCTGCTGTACTTGTAGTTGTTGTTGCTATTTGCTTTTCGTTCCCGGCTAAATCTAAACGCGAATGTCTTGCTGCAGTGGATGCTGCAGGTGTAGCAATGAGTAGAGATAAGCACAGAATACAAGACGTGACATTGTAGGTGTGTCGCGTTCGATTAAGTTGTCGCATTATTGATGATACTGTTGTTGCTGTTATGGGCGATAGCTAAAATGGTATAAAAATGTTTGAAATTCAATGTACCTTAAACATATATGTGATTGCAGGCGAATGAAATACAGTGCAGTGCATGGAACAGGAAAAAGGCACAGAGGAATTCATTTGAAAAAATTTGTAGAGAAAGCTTCCTAGAGAGCGTTGGGGAACACAAAACGTTATTTAGTGGGAAATATTGCTCCATATAAAATATTCGTTAACATTAAATGTTGCTGAGCGTTAATTGATTGATACGTAATATAAAACGCTGATGGACATAAATTATTGCTAAACATTTTATGGTAATAACCGAGAATGAATCTCAACATAAAATTCTGCTAAAATAAAAAATGGAATAAAATTTTAATTTAAAAACTGTTACAACATACAATGTTTCCCAACATAAAATGTTTCCCAACATAAAATGTTTCCCAACATAAAATGTTTCCCAACATACTATTTCCTCGTATTATTTCAGTCGCAAACGCGATTGCCAATTTTATTGTTTTTAGAAGTTCTTTAATAAAAGTTTTATAGCTTCATTATTAAAAGCCAATGTTTACTTGACTTCAAAATATCTTTGGAAAAGTTTCCATCAAACTGTGTAGTCAGCGAGAGCAACTGATGAAATGTTGCTTACGTCTTCTTTCCAATTAGATTAGTGAGATTTTGTATAACTAATAACATTTCATATATGTGTGTGTATATATGAGTAAGTAAATATGTTATCACAGTAGGTGGGTTATCGCTCTCAAACCTCTATGCGGCTAAAGAGTTATTTATACTCCACTGGGTGTTGCTGAAGATGTATTCTAGTTATCTTTTCACCAGTAAGAAATAAAGAACAATAAAATTTTTTTAATGACAATAACTAAGTTATAATTTCCATAGAAATGTATAAGCACAAAAATCTGACAACACACAGTTACAAAGCCTTCTTTTGTTACAACAAAAGAGGAAATTCAGGTTTTTTTCGTTCAACATGATTGCTTATATAATATATAAAGGTATATGATGCTGACGAGCAATGCCGGCAAGAAATAACAGATGAGGTGTGTTATTTAATAAACCGTTTGGTTCAAAGTGCAACTTAAATTAAAATAAAATAGAGACTATTAAAAATACAACGTATAATAATAAGAAACTATTTAAGAGTACGTCTGCTAGTCAGGTTGACAACCTGCCAAACGATTTTCGAGCAGCATCCAAATGTTAGACAAGCCTGCATATATATGTGTATGCGAAGGTAATAAAACAATGGTGCCCAACAGCTTTAATAATTTATGTTGCAAGAAAATTGAGGTACTATTTGAAATTACTCATTTTTATACTTCCCACCCAAGAATAGTTTGTTTTATTTCATTTAATATTGTTTTTGAACATTTATGTATTTAATACTACATTTTATTAAATTTTATTTTAACATCTTTTATTTTTTATTAATTTTATTTTATATTGTTTTTTTTTTTTTATTTTTTTGTTTTTTGTTTATGTTATGTTATTTTATTTATTATCTTTTTTGATTCTTTGATTTATTTTATTTTTATATTCTTTGTGTTATTTTATTTTATTTTATTTTATTTTATTTTCTATTATTTTATTTTATTCTATTTATATTTATATTTAAATTTTATGCAATCCTTTATACATTTGATTCAATTTGATAAAAAACGCAATAGCTGTAAAAATTTGTTGTTAATATTTTTTTGTTTTCTAATAGTTTATGCCTGTTGTTTGATAATTTTCTTCGCATGCATATTTCTAACTATTTTAGACTTTTACAATTGTTTTGCACGCTTTCAGCGTTAACAGCTTTTCAATTTTTTACTCTCAAGTGGAAGTGTAAAATTTACAGTTCGTTGCGTGCCGCTGCGCATTTTCGTGGCATTACTTTTTGTATAAGAATCTACTTTAATTTTGAGGAAATTCGCTCTTTGTGCGTTGTCATTATCATCAAGATCGCTTTTTTGTATTATTGTTTCTTATTTTACATTTCCGCTATGACTTATGTTTGCAAGCTTCGTGTGAGAGTTATCTCACTTTTTGACATACGCAGATTTTGCCATAAAATCTGATGAAATTTGCTGCTATTAATTTACAAAATCTGTTTTTTTTTTATGAAGAGGAAGAAGATTTCACTTTCTCTATCACACAGTCATTAGGTGACTTGATTCTGCAGCTTGGAATTTACATGACGATTTTACATGCCCGTATTTATTTAGATATATACATTAGTGTATATATGCAATGTGTGTGTGTTTTCCAATACTTTTTTCCTTTTAATTGCGGTTTTTATAATAAAATTTCGAATAAGAGAGTAAAAGCAGAATCAAACTGTTTAACCAATTGTGTTGATAACATTTCTGTTAATTTAACAATTGAAAACGCTATTTGATCGATCGGAATGCAAGAGTTACTATAAGCTATAGATATGCTGTGATTGCATATTTTATTGTTGTAGATATCGTGTGATCTTCCCAACACCTTTGCAACAAATAAGCGTTAACAATCATTAAATTTACCGATTTAATTCCCATCATTATTATCTCCGCACAGTTACCCCACATTGGTATTTCTACGGAGAACTAACTGTCTAAATGCATTGACCGAATTTGGCTATTGACTTTGACTAGTCAATTAAATTTTCTTTTATCTGGCGGTATTTAACTGCACTCTTTTCACTTGAGATGAGCACTAATTTGATTGCATATGCCTTAAGGTTTTTTTATTTTTCTTTAATTCAAATTCATTGATACATCTAAGTGATTAATTTTTTATTATTCTTATGTATGCCTTTCACTTTTGGAGCTTAAAGCTGAAGCACTTTTAGAGGAAGCAGCTGAGAAAATGTTTCGTCTAACGGGAAACGAAAGTTAAGATTTGTCGGTAAATTTTACTTATCTTTAGCTAAAATACTGTTAGTGGTTGTGTATAATACATATAATGCTTATGTACTACAAGTTTTTTAGTAGACTACTTTTTTTGTTGAAACTGCTGAATTCTTTGATGGAACTGAAAAATAATTATTTTACCGTAATTACATTTTAATTCATCGCTACGCACCAACTATCTGTAATTAACATTTTTTTTTTTTCTATATAAAACTAATAAAAAATTATTTCATTTGGAATTTTTGGACAATTATTTTCTTGCAAATGGAAAAAAAATGTGAAAATGGTAGCGGAAAATAAAATATAGTGGATGACGAGTAATTGACTCAACTCATGAAGAAAAGAATTTACGTCAATATAAATCCGATTAAATATGGCTTTGACCCTTAGAACTGAATAATAAATAATCTAGAGAATGTCAAATTCTCACTGAAGGCTGTGGTATAGAGACATCTACTCAACAAACTTCCCAAGCAATAAAAATTATGGAAAGTAAATCGGTTACAGATATTATAAGGAATGTAAGTGACAATATAGCCGAAGACCTAAGGACCAAAAACAAGAAACAGAAGTAATTTTTTAATTTCGGCGGTAGAAAGAAAATGAGAGAAAAAATAAAAAAATTGGAAGTATAATTTTTATTTGTTATTTTTATTTTTATGTTGTAATTTTTTCACTATTTCCTAAAATACATGGTCTGAAAATGAAAAAAAAACTTTTATATCTTTATTTACTGAAAATTTTAGATTTCAACTGGTTTGTGGACTTGCCCTTACAAAAATTACTAACTTAAAAAGTTTCATGATAAAAAATATACTTTTTTAAACTTTTCGAAAATATGCATACAATTTTGAACCTTTTTTCTTTTCTGCTTATGTGTAATATATTTGTTAAATATTTTGAAAGCGTGAGCATTTTTTTGTTGTATTTTTTCTTTTCTACCCTACTTATTTGTTATTTACTACTTTATACATGGTGATGGGGTGTGTTAATAAGCATAGCTAAATTTATTTGTTGCCAATTCGGTACGGTATATTATTTTCATATCAATTTCGCTTTTCTCCAAATAAATAATAAACTAGAAATGAGACTAGAAGTCAACGAATATGACCACAAAATATTCCCCAGGCGAAAATATATGTGTAACCAACCATACAAATGTGAGCACATAGATAAATATTTATTTAATTTGTGTTTATAGAAAAATTTTGCGAGCGAAAATTTAGGCTAATTACTATTTTCTTTTTGAAAAATGAAGAAAAGATTGTCATTTGTTATATGTAACGAATTGAGAAACATTTTAAGACTTTTGCTTTTTTTACTTTTTACTTTTCCTTTCTGAAAAAAGTTCAAATACCTCCGCATTGAGCAGCAAACAATGAATTGGTAACTAGTTCACAAATAATTGCGTGAAAAGTGCTTGCGTTTATATTCCAACGCTTCTATTTAGCTGAAGATTCCAATTAACTTGTCAGAAAAACACTACAGTAGAAAATAAAAGTTTGGCCAAGGAATATTTGTTTCAAAAGTTTCTTAAAAAATTTCTACGTTTTCGTTACTTTTACTTTACCTCAAAATTTTAGTATTTTTTTTTACTCCTTGCATTGGCAGATTTCTTCACAAAACATATAACTAATCTAATTTTAATTCAATACAAAAGAACCATATCTTCATAGACCCTAACTCATATACATAAAAACCTTTTAGCTAACGCGCGAGGTTCACTACAATTCAGACACAAACGACTTAAGCAACGAACTTTTTCCTTTTTATTTACGTTTTTTAGTTACCATAAAAAAGAAAACCTAACAAATTATGCCAATAATAATAACAAAAGCGCTCAATGTGTTGTTGTGTCTTTGAAGTGTCGACATTTCTTGTTCCATATCACGCGCACGCCAACAAAGAGACGATTTTCCATTTATTATATCGTTCAATTTCTGATTAATTGTTGTCATAAATCGGTTGCAACAAATGAGTGAAGCATTCTTCAATATATGAAAGTAACGCGTGGGCATTTGTGAATGAATTTTGAAAATTTTGAGACTCTTTAATGGCACTTAGCATTAGAAAACTGTAATTTATTGATTTCTTTGTCGAATTTTTTTTTTTATATTTTGACAAATGATGATGCACCGTTTAACGGGGTTAACTGTTTGCTGTAATTGTCCCCTACAGCATTTGGTTATTTTTTTATGATCTAACGATTTGAGTAGGTAGCACTGCAAAAGGTAGCAGATTCCTAATAAATTAAGCCACATAAGCAAGCATAGTAAATATAAATAAAATAAAATAAAATAAAATAAAATAAAATAAAATAAAATAAAATAAAATAAAATAAAATAAAATAAAATAAAATAAAATAAAATAATATAAAATAAAATAAAATAAAATAAAATAAAATAAAATAAAATAAAATAAAATAATATAAAATAAAATAAAATAAAATGAAATAAAATAAAATAAAGTAGTTTTAATAAATCAGAATGATATAAAAAAAATAAAATTCTCATATGTTAAAAGAAATACATTTTTATTTTAGATTCCACAAATGCATATTACTCGTAATAGACACCCATCAGCTACGTCGGCAACATCAATGCTGTACTCATGCCAGTTTCTGCAACAGTGGGCGCTTCTGTAGTTTGCATTAAGTTAACAGCAGGCGCAACAACAAGTGATTAGCGCAAGACTGATCGCACTCAACGAGGGCACCCAACTTCACTGCAGAAACTGGCAGAAAGCATGTAACATATATTTCAACCACACATTTTGCGTTATTAAAGCCGTATTTCTTGAGTGTTCTTTCAAAATATATTTCAAATAATTTTTTTTTTTCTCCTCTACTTTACCTGCTTTTTCTTGTAGTCACTTAGTAGCTCTAATGCCCTGCAACAAATTACGTTAATTTAATTCCCTTTGAACTAATTCCCTTGAAGCTACTCCTGCTGTGGCAGGCACCAGTACAGGTGGTGTGCAACAAATAGCTGGAGATCCTCTGATGAAGACGCCTCTATCAGCTAGCTATTAAAGAACTTCTGTTCAACATCTTCCGCTGAACCGGCTGACTGAGTCTATACTTTTCAAAGATTGCATGTGCGCACATATTTATTGTTTTTGTTCTCTACGATGTTAATTGAAACCTGCTGAGGCATCAGTGTCAGTCTGCTTGCAGCTTCATAAAGTTACAACCAACCAGCTAAGTGTTGTGAAATCATTTGAATTGCTGCCGTTTGTGGCGGCTGGAGTTAAAGTGTTGTATTTGTGTGTGTGTGTGTGTGTGTGTGTGTAATAAAAAAGAAAACAATGCAGAAATATTCAGCTAAGCTTCAATGCAACACAAGAATTCATTTTCCCAACTAAACTTGTAAATAAAAAAGTGTCTGACGAGTGTTGTTGTACGTCTTAGCATCTCTGAGACTTCTAGTGGCGCGTTGCTGTTTTCCTTCTATTTTTCTTTTCTAGCAACAACAGTAACAGTGACCTTAATGTGTATTTGTAGCTTTGTAGCTTTGCATTGAAGGTGTTTAAAGTGATCTGCGTTTGTTGTGTATGCAGTTTTATATGATTTTCTTTGTTTTTTGTTTTTTATTTGCATTTGGCTCCGCATATTCCGCGTACATTTCAAATGCAGCCGACAGTCCTTGACTTTTATTACTCCAGCCCTTTGGTCGTGTTTTAAACATTTTACGATCGCTTGTGTTTTCTTACTTTGCCCTTAATTCGTTGCAGTTAAAGTTAAAATGGCATAAAATGCTGAGTGTTGTAAGCAGTGCAAATAGCTGAGCAGTGAAAATAATAAAAATCTTAATACATCACCCATCGGGCCTTTTTTCCATGCGTACAGAGAGCTACTAAATGAGCAATTTTTTTTGCTTCCATCGGCTTTTTATTTCAAAGGCGCTGCTGGCTTGCATTGTTTCAGTGAAATTCAGTTTATAATATTTTTTCAAGGCTAAGCAAAACTTGAAAAACTATTTATTTGAATATACAAAGGGTTCTAAAAAAATTATGATGATGCAGGATTATTATAATATTTTATTTATTGAATTTTTTTTTTACTTTTCAAACTATTTTAAAGAGTATTTAGACCGTTAAGGAAAATAGTTCTGAATAACACATTATAACGGTTGAAAAATTTTGGTAAGCCTGAGCATGGCTCACAAAAACATTTTCGAGTAATCTCCATAGATACTAAATTTATTATAGAAATTTTAGTTATTGTTTTATACAGATGACTTAACTATACATATACATGCTTTTCGAACAAAAAAATATTTATAATGTTAACACAGAGTCTCAATACCTTCTATATTTTATTTATTTATCTTTTTTAATTGTGCTCTTTAGCAACTAATGCCCAATTAAGAGAAGAATCGCCATATTTTTAAGAAACCACGTATATTTTGGATGATTTCGCTAGGCTATGGTGCAGCATAATTTAAATTTATAATTTAATTCTCTTTTTTTATACATCAGAATACTCGCTTTATTAGTAATTAATTAATTACTAAAAGTATTTTGATGAATTTTTACATATATAAATATATATGTTTTTAAAATTTTATTGCTTGATGATTGCTTACCTTTTTGCCGTTTTGTAATATTGACTGATAACTGAGATATAAACTTTTAATACACTTAGTGAATATATTTTCAGTACGGCTTGGATAACTATTTGAAAAAGTTATCCTTGATTCGACATATAAAAAATCGGACACTAAAATCAGACTCTTTACTAGAAAGACTACAAAAACTTTTTGTTAGAAGTTCCACAAATTTTCCTATATTAAAATCATACACAAATATTTTCATTGAATATGCATTTAGAAACTGTGATTCAACTCCCAACGCATGTTTCAAAGTACTTTTAGCACTAAAAACTATTAATTCTTTCCAACACACTCACAAAAATTCCGCACGCACTTATATTTCTTTTACACTTACGCCAAACTTCACAGAAATTTGCTGCAACGAACTATCACGTTGTAAGGTCGACGTAGAACTAAAGACTTTACCTTGAGAAAATGTGTTGTTATAAAAATTAGAAAACTTCTTTCACCAGAGCAGCAGCCCAAAGAAGTACACCGGTGTGTGTGTATGTGTGCATTGGTTAACTGAGAAAAAGCTATCAACAACTTTTTTAAATAGTTTTGCTGCATGAAATGATCATCCACATTAATACATACATACATATGAACGGCGAGATGTTGCATTCTCGTGAGCAGAAGAGCGTCTCGCGTTACAATACTTACTCTGCACTCTACAGGTGGAGTTTTTTAGAGTAAAATTTAATATGATGGAGTTGAGAACAATGGTTTTCAACAGCAGCAGCATCGTAATGAGCGTTTGGCTCTAGGTAGTTGCTATGATTGAGAAAACAGGTATTTCATATTCACATTGCTTCATTTTATTTTATTTTTTATTAATTTCGTTTCCTTTTATTATTTCATTTTATTGAATTTATTTAATTAAAATTAATTTTATTTTATTTTATTTATTTTTATAAAATTTAATTTAATTTAAATTTATTTTATTTTATTAATTTTAATCAAATTTAATTTAATTTAAGTTTATTTTATGATTTTTACTTTTATTTATTTTATTTTTTAATATGTTTCAATTAATTTAATCTTCTTTTATTTTATGTTTAAATATATTTTATTTAATTATTTTTTATATTTTTTTTTAAATTTGTTGTATATATTTTATATTGTTACTTTTACTTATTTTTTGGTTAATCGAATTGAATTTATGTTATTTTAATAAAATTTTTTTGTTTAATTTTTTTTATTTTATTATATTCTTTTTTATTGAATTTATTTTAGTTTATTTTTTTATTTTATTTGATTATATTTTCTTTAAATTAATCGAATTTAGTGTATTTTAATTTAATTTAGATTTCAATTTATTTATAGTTCTTAATGTTAGTATATCTTGATAATCGGCATAGTAGCATGCACTTTTATTTTTTATTATATATGATATACAAGGATTGGGCATCATAGCATTTGATGTCTGTTTTTAAACAACGCAAAAGTGCAAGTATAAAACATCGCCTTATTTACGAACTAACTAGATATGTACTTGCATACTTACTTCCGTAACAAATATGAAGTCACAACATGAAAAGAATAATGCTTGTATCAAATCATGTGATACAACATCACATCACACCTTGTAGCATCACATCATATGACAAAAAGTTTCAAAGAAGCATATGACAACATGATACCAAATACTTTCTATCTGTATATAAATATATGTTTGAATAAGGAAGTATAATAGATAGAAACATATTGAACTACCCTGTAATCGCCACAAATCACATCACCTCACATCACATCACAATGAGCTCTTCCCATTGTATATTACTTATCACATATAAAAGACTTGCAAACCATTTTATGATTCTATTTAAAAATATAGTTTGGAATATCAACCGTTGTTTGAAGAAATCATAAAAAATGACAATTATGATCCTATAGCTATTCTGATTAATATTGTATTAATTAATATATTTTTGGTAGTAATTGTACTTGACATACATATTATGAGATAACAAATATTATATGTACTGCATTTGTATTTCGGCGTTTTTACAATTAAATAAATTATTTAATTTTAAAAATTCTTCTATATAAATTAAACTCTTCGTTTTCCCATACCATGGCACGATATTTCTCCCTGTGATCTATTTCTTAACAGCTAATGTTAAATAATTTAACAGTAACTGCTAAAGGTCGCTTGGATGTTAAACATTTCAGAGCATATTTTGAGGCGCATTTTTACAACGCATTCAAAGGAAAAATAAAAAAAACTTACTATGGATTTTAATTTTATGTATTATATGCAACAATATGTGTATGCGAAAGTGGGTAAAGAATCAATCAATAAAAATATAAAAAAAAATAAATTAAATTATGTGCAGTCAAAGCGATGAGCTAACATGAAAAAATTATGCTTTAATGTCCCAATTAGCAAAACGAAAGATTATACATCTCACTTATTAATAAAATTGGTATTGTAAGTCTACTTGAAGTTTTTTATAGTACGACTTAAATTAGTTTATTAACTGCTTTTATGATTATTATTGTTGGTTTGACTTCCAAATACCTAATGCAAATTTATAGCGAAAAAATGAGTAAATCTTTAAATAGAAAATACTGCAAACATAAACATGGAAAAATTAACAACAATTGTTATGCCTTTCTCACACACTAGAGTCAGCATATGTGCCTTATTTGCACCCACTCAAAGCAATAATATGCAATAAAATATGAACCTCACATAAATCCCATGCTGAAAATTGATCCTAAATAACCAAGCAATGAGCACAAAGTGTTAACAACAAAAACATGTGAAATTTATTGAAATTTATGTTGTTATTACTGTTGTACTCAAAGGAAAATAATACCGCACTATATGTAACTAACAACACTCTTAACTTGTACTTGCAACAAATTGCTTTTCTGTATACATCTACGTATACTTATATACGTATACTTATATGTATATATGTATATATGTATTTATGGCCGCACTCGTAGTACAATGCTCACTCTCTCACAAACGACCCAATTTTCATGGGTAATGACATTTAACTGTACTTATGTGTCCATTTGCAAATCTTATGTTGCCACAAACGCCCTCAAGTGTGTTTGGTCGAATATTCATTAACTTCAATGTCACCATAACCCAGTCGAAATTGCTATTGGAAGCAAATTGATAAACATACAATTTATCGCATGGTGTCGGTTGAGAGGAGTTAATGGGTTCACTAAAGGAAGTTAAATTTATTTGAGCAGATTCCAGAATCTTTGTGGAGTAGCTGAGGCAATTAAGTGTAATGGCTGTGGTGGTTGCTTAGTTATGGATACACTTGGTAATAGATTTCTTTTAGCGATTTCACTTCGTTTTGAAATTTAAATATTTATATCCAATAGATAGACCTGAACTGAGAAATTTGAGGCCTTTAAGCTTTTTCTCTTTAATTGATAATATTTTTATTTATTTCAATTTTCGGCTGTAAAGGATATAATAAGGGAGTAGCACAGCTTCGAAAAAATTAAAATTGTTTTTGTGAAATTATAATTAAAATAAATTAAATTACCTAAATTATTCAAGGTAGATAACAGTGGATAGTTGCCACCTTTTTAGAAACTTGAAAGTTAAATACATGAAATACGAAACACGAAATATTACAAATCCTACTGAAAAGAATTAAAAATGCTCTAAGCTTAGCACATTTTTTATGGTGCCCAGTGTTTCCTTCAATAATAATTCGGTGAGGAAGTCAATTTGATCAAATAGGCGACGATAGAGTGGCACTACTTCAAAATAATCCACATCTACTGTTCAATATTGATGATGAACGGCACCTTTTCGTGGAGTAACCTAGGCCATTGGGGGATGGGCCAACTGTAGAAGTTCACGCAGGTGAAAAAAATTTTTGACTGTCATTAGCCTGGGAGTAGGCAGACTTCCGGTCTTAGACCAAGTACCCTCTGGGTAGCTAACAAAGATCCGTTTGAATGCAAGCACGAAGGCGAATCCAATGCAGCTGTGCGTAGGATTTCGGACCCACCACATGAAAACCCAAAAATCCTATGAAAAATCAAACTAAGCCTCGGATGAGAGACAACTCCTTTTGATGACAACCCCTGCAAATTTTTTAAGATAACGTTTTAAGGACACGCACCTGGAATACCCGGACCCTTAATTGGGAAGGAGTTGCTGCCAAGCTGGTTGATTCCTTTTAAAATTAAAGACTGACAATACCGCCGCGATGGAAGTTGGTTCCATTTCAAATCTACTACAGTGACCATATAAAGGAGCGCGAATTCGATGACGGATTTGTGGTGGGAAAGAGACTCCGTCATTCTGGTGGACGTGAACGTCTCTTCACAATCCGAATAAAAACGATAATTTTTAACATTACGCTGATTTGCGCCCACGCACCGACGGAAGGGACAGACGATTTGACCAGGATGCCTTTTGTGAGCACCTCGAACACACTAATGAACGCTGTCCCTGCCACAACGTCAAAATTGATCTTGGCGTCTTCAACGACAGATAGGGAACCCGAAACTCTAATTGATGACGATGGAAAAGTTGTTCCGTTATCCGATTACGAAGAAGTCCGAGTACTTGTCGCCCGCCTGCTGATCTGATACAGGCATACCGGACGATTGGAACCTAGGTGTGCGCTGTTCAATTAGACCGGATAAGTCAATCATTGACTAGATATCCACCATGCGACAAATCTTGAAAAATACCCGTGAAGAGAGGATCGACATATCTATAAGAGTGTACAGCTGCTGGCGTACGCCGGTGATATCGAAATTATTGGCCTCAAAAACGGCGCCGTTAGTTCTACATTCTAAAGACTTGATAAGGGAGCGCACCGAATGGGTCTTTTAGTGAATGAGGACAAGACGAAATATCTCCTATCATCAAACACACAGTCATGATTCCGTCCATTCGCGACTTGGATCCCACGCCACTGTGGACAGTTATAACTTTGAAGTCGCAGATAATTTCGTCTCTCTAGAAACCAACATTAACACCAACAATAACGTAAGCCTTGAAAGCCAACGCAGAATCACTCTTACCAAAAGGTGCTACTTTGGACTGAGTAGGCAATGGAAGAGTAAAGCCCTCTCTCGGCGAACGAAAACCAAACTCTACTGGTCCCTCATCGTTCCCGTCCTGCTATATTGTGCGGAAGAATGGGCGATGACAGTAACCGATGAGTTTGCGTTAGGAGTTTTCAAGAGAAGCGTTTCGCGTATGATTTATGGTCCTTTGCGCGTTGGCAACGGCGAATATTGCAGACGATGGAACGATGAGTACGAGTTATACCGCGACATTGATATAGTTCAGCGAATCAGGAAGCAGCAACTATGCTGGCTAGGTCCTGTAATTCGAATGGATGCTAATACTCCAGCTTTGAAAGTTTTCGATGCAGTACCCGACGAAGTAAGCACAGGGAGAGGAACACCACCACTCCGTTGGAAAGACCAGGTAGAGAAGGACCTGGCTGTACTTGGTATTTCCAATTGGCGCCAAACAGCAAAAAGAAGAAACGAATGGCGCAACGTTATTAAATTCGCCATACTCGCGTAAGCGGCGTCTACACCATTAAAGTAGGTAAGTAAGTAAAATCAGAAAAATATTTTACAATAAAAATGGTATAAAATAAATTAATAAATAAATAAAGAATTAATAAAATCTTCAATAAAAATATAAAAAAAATTATTTTTTGTTTCCGAACCATTCGTTTAGTACATTTTATATTTTAGATAAATATATTTATACTTCTATGGTTATGTGCAATTTTCGGCCAAATTCTATGTGCATTTAGATCGCTATAAACTGAGCGAATCTGCTTTTCTCATAATTCCTTAGCAAACTTTCGTTGGCATTTCTCGCGCTCCGCATAACCATCGCCACACATTAATTTATTTAAATTAGCCATTGACTGGAGCTACATTTGTTATGGCTATAAAAGCCACAGTTACAGTTACAGATGGGGTAGTGGGAGGCTGTGGTGTTTAAAGCAGGTTGCAAGCACATGAACTTGTTGTGTGCCTGAAGTGGCAGCCCACGCATAGCTTTCATATATTTACGCCAAAAGAATGTGCAAATATTTAAGCATGTATGAGTATGCTTTGTAAAACATAAAGCAACAATTTCACAGCATTATTCGCATTTTCATTCATGTTTTATTTTTATTTTATTATTTCAAATTTTCCTTGTCATTAAATTTGGTCATGGATAAAGGACGTATGAAGGTGAGAAATGAATTCGGCATTAAAATAATTCTTTCCGCACATGACTACTGACCTAAGCCAATTTACATTTAACGCATTCGCTTAGAGAAATTTTAACGGTAAATATTTATGTTGTATTTTAATTTGGATGAAATCTTGTGTGCGAATATTTATGAACGTCATTAAAAGCACTTGTGTCGCCGACAACTTGATTTACTGAATCCAAGTGTGTGGGCGCCGAAATTCATAAGCTCTCAAGGAAAGCTTCTAACAGCTTTCACCTTTTACGGTCAAAGGTATGATACTGCTAAGTGTTCGTTAGATAGGTAAGGAATTTTACATTGAAATTAGAAGACTTGATGGCATTATTATTGTGATTTTTGCATTTGAGGTTTGACTGAATTTTCTCAACAGTTCGGGTTAAACGAGAATTTCTCTTGGAGTATTCAGCGACCCATTCAGAATAGTACTCAATGATACTTCACTTTCTGTCATGGACTAAGATCGGGTATTGTTTGCGCGATTTCAGCTGTAATGTTGGGTTTACATGTTACTTGATAACCTACTAACGTTTTTTTGCTGGTCTCGTAAAATATATTAATTAGGGAATATGTTATTAACGGATAGGGAACGAAGCATCCAATTTATTTCGAACCTGTACTATCAAAATATGTACCGTCAGAAGGAAGCAATTGCCTAAAAGCGGCCAGCTTTGACCAGCTACACACATCAACAGTGGCGGGTTAGGGGCTCACGAATTTAGCCGCGGTAAGGCATGCCTGTCGTAAGAGGCGACTATAATCCAATAGTTCCCGCGACAGTCGGGTCTTTATTCCGGAACGACCCGTTTTTTATACGGCCAACATTCCCCAAAAGTACTTTGGGGAATAATTTTGCGGTTACAACAACAACAACAGTGCCTCCCCAGAATATCAAAGAGTTTGATTGGGAGGCTCTTAAGCATCTACATCATAGTTCGGATCCTGCACCAAATGATTACCTGCTCCTGTTTATGGCAAAGGATTTAGTTAGTGAGGAACTTACCTGAAGAGAAGCTTGTGGAAAGCGATTGTTCCAATTCTTTGGCATTGAGAGGCATAATGACATAATCAAACCTTTCGGGCAAAAAGGTGCATATTTAACATAAGTCGAGCTTCATGTAAGGTGTCGACAGATCTATAAAAAAGTCCTTTCTAAACCTCACCAAAAGCTTCATTATCTGACGTGTGGAAATTGATTACGAGAAATAAACTCTTGACAACAGTTCTGCAATTTAGGCGAGAGCTGGAGGCATAAAAAAATGTATACAGTTTTTTTTCTCGTTTGCGTTTCACAGAGATACCGAGTCCTCCACTTTCCAACTCTGCAACTTACTTATGTATCAGCTGTTTTGGATCCACAATTTATTTCTTACTTTACTCTTTAGAATTTCTACAGTCAAAGTAGACACTTTGAATTTTCCTCAAATTTCAAAACTCAAAAATGAAAAATTTTCATTTCCAATCCAATTTTTCTCACGTTCAGACAAATTTTATATTTTTTGTAAGATTTTTTTTTTTGAGGAAAATAATTTTATACCAAATTTTTTTAAACTCGCAAAAAGTATTTTACGCAAACTTTAAACCAACAAAATGCTGTCGGAAAAGGATAAAGCAAATAATTATTTTTTCAACCGTACAGATCGAAGAAGTCTGCACACACAGCTTAAAGATCTTGTGCAAACCGCGTTAGACGTTGCGGCAAAGGAACTGAATCAACGACGAAAGAAACTACGCCGTATGCTCGAGAGAGAGGATAAAATTTATGAAGAGGAATTCGCCAGTAAAGTCAAGTCACGCATAGACGAGGATATAAAAACGCGCAAAGCGGCTTTGTTCAAGATCAAAGAGCAGCGCAGTCAGTATGATAAAGAGTTCTTGGATAAGAAAAATATACAGTTACATTTCGAGAACTGCCATGAAATACGCGAGGCTTTGAGACTCAAAGAGACGCAGCGAACAAAGGAGATACACCTGGAGCAAATGGTGGAAAAGAAGCGTGCCCTTATGCGAGAGCGCCAATTGGACGAGTATTGGTGTAAAGTGCCCGACGCAAATGCACAGCATTACGACAAACGCCAGGCGGAGGAAAACCAGATGAAATGTAATTTAAAGCGCAAAATGCGTTGCTTGCTGGAGGAGCAAATTGAAATGCACAAGAAACAGGAAGAGTGTCAACGCGAGCAAAAGCGAGTAGAAGCCAAAGAGTTAGCCAAAGTAGCAGAACAGATGCGTTTGGAGGAGCTCGATCGAGTGGATCTCGGCAAACCGGCAAAGACGCAGGAATACCGCGAGGAGCTGCTTGCAATGATTGCCAAAAATAAAGCCACACGTGACGCTGAGAAGTGTGCGCGCATAGAAGAGCATAGTCAACTAATGCGCAAAGTAGCACAAGAGCAACGGGATGAAAGCGCATCAATCAAACAACACAAGCGCGCCGTTTACAACGCCACAATAGAATATATCGACTATGCGCAGAGAATGCGTAAATTGAAGCAAGATGCAGAAAATATGCGCCAGTCGCGCACAGACGATTTGCGGCACGTGGATATTTGCACCAAGAGCAATATACAGCGCGAGCTCCAGCAAAAAGCGGAAGTAGCAGCGCTCTGCTACGCTGAGTTACGACACCAAATGAACGAGGAGCATGAGCGACGCCTACGTGACATCGCGGAGCAACGTGAAGAGAAAATAATCGAAAATCGTTTTGCGCGCCCAGAAAAGACACGCGCCGAAATAACGGCCGAGCGTTTCAAGACGCGCAAGCAACTAGATGAACAGTTAGCCGAAAATGCGCGCATACATGCTGAACAAGAAGCGAAATATAATGCAGAATTGAAACTCGCACCGAATGATCCGGAGTTCTGTAAGCAACTAGCGGAAAAGTATTTAAGTGCGGGCATCGACTACTTACCGCCGCACGCCAATTGGCTAATATATGCGTGTCCACAGCAAAATTTTTCAGCTAAACAGAACGAGGCCAGTGCGGCAGGTGACCACAAGCGAGATTTCGAGGACTGAGCGAAGCGGCGCGTGGTTCAAACCTGCTGATATGGAAGGGTTTAGCGTAAAGTTTTTTTTATTTTTTTATTTTCTATAAAACAATGAAAAAATGAAAAAAATTTTGAGTAATAATTTTCATAAAATATGTAAAAGCATTACAAATGACATTTTTTAAACTTTGTAACAAAACAAAATAAAATTTGAGTATTTTGATAAAAGTTTATTTTATTTATATGAATTCAAACTTTCAAACTTTGTGAATTTTTTATTTGAAATTTTCTTTAACGTTCTCTCAATCACCACCTCACTGAGCTATCGCACTTCGGTGACATGCAGAAATATTTATTTATATAAAAACTCAGGTGAAATTAAATTTCGTTAATGAAGATACTCCTTTAAAAAAAAGGTATTTTTACATTTATTTATATAAAAAAGTAAAAATTTTTATGTATAAAAACTATTTAAATATGTTACAAACGATTTTCCAGCATTCTTTTCCGGACAACAACGCGCCGCCTCGGGGAACTCAACAAGTTTCGAGTTCCCGGCGCTTTCTGACAGCGGCGGCTCCACGCCCAACTGCTGACCAATTGAAGTGTGTGCATTCTAAGCCAGCGCGTGTAGCACAACCGCAAAGCTTTTCATAAGAGTCTGATTTGACATTACTTTCCGCTTTCGCCGTGATTTGTTTGCTGACATAGTTCTTTTCCGGGCATGCGTATATTAGCCAGTTGTCATGAGGTGGCAAGTAGTCGATGCCCTCTCTCAAATATGTCGCCGCTAATTCTTTACAAAATTCCGAATCATTTACGGCCAACTTCAACTCCGCATTATACTTGGCTTCTTGCGCGGCGTGTATGCGCGCATTTTCGGCCACTTGCGCGTCAAGTGCTTTACGCAGCTCAAACCGTTCAGCCATTGTTTCGCCGCGTGTCTTTTCGGGACGCGCAAAACGATTTTCCATAATCTTCTGCTCACTACGCTCAGCCAAATCGCGCAAGCGACGCTCGTACTCCTCACAAATTTGACGGCGTAACTCAGCATAGCAGAGCGCTGCTATTTCCGCTTTGCGCTGCAGCTCACGCTGTATGTTGCTCTTAGTGCAGATGTCTACGTGTCGCAAATCGTCAATGCGCGCATTACGCGCCTGCCTTGCCTTTTCTTCCAAATCCCGCATGCGCCGCGCATATTCCAAATATTCCATTGTCGCATTATACACGGCGCGTTGGCGTTGCAACATTGCTGCGCTGTGCTCACGTTGCTCGCGCGCTACATCGCGCATTAATTGCCGATGGTCTGCGATGCGTTCACACTCTTCGGCATCACGTTTTGCTTTATTATTTGCAATCATTTCCAGTAGCTGGTTGCGGTAGGCGACTGTCTTCTCCGGCACACCCTGTCGCATGCGATCAAATTCTTCCAAACGTAGATCCTCGAGCAGTTTGTCCAACTCTTTGGCTTCCGCATGCTTCAGTTCACGTAGCCGCTCTTCCTCTCTGTTATGCATTTCAACTTGCTCATCTAGCATGCAACGCATACTGCGATTTAAGTCACACTTCACTTTATTTTCTGCCGCTTGGCGTTGATCATAACGCTGTGTATTGGCATCGCGTACTTTACACCAGTAGTCATCCAGTTGACGTTGGCGCCTGAAAGCGCGCTGATTATCCAACATTTGTTCCAGTTGCGCATCCTTAGTTTGTAGTGTTTCCTTATGGCGCAGCGCGTCACGTAGCTCACAGCAGCTCTCAAAATGTTGTTGTACAGTTTTTGCTGCCAAAAATTTCTGCTCCTTCTGTCGCCGCTTCTCTTTGATCTTGATAAGTGCATCCTTACGCTGTTGTATGTCCTCATCGATGCGCGACTTCACCTTTTTGGCAAACTCCTCTTCATAGATTAAATCTTCCCTTTCGAGCATGCTGCGTAGTTCCTCGCGCCGTTGCTCCAACTCTTTGGCGGCAACATCTTGCGCAGTTTTTACGAGCTGCTTAATCTGAGTGTACAGACTTTTGCGGTCTGTGCGGTTGATGAATTCAAAATGCGCCCAATCTTTTGGTGAAATCATTTCCATGTAAGAATTAATAAAATATTTTTCTTTGAAGAAAATCTTAAGGCAATTACAAATCTTCTGCGTTTTCTCAGTAAAACATAGTAGATTTAAAAAATATATTAGAGTTTTTATTTTACACAAAGAAGATGTTAAAGAACTAAATAAAAAAATTAAAATTGTGAAAAATTATAATTAAAATTATTTTGATCTTCAACGGAGACGAAAGTCAATTGGAAAAATTAATTATTTTAAGTGAGTTAAGTGGAGTGTTGCTCATTTGTCAATTCAAAAGAAATGAGTAAAGAAGAATGGTAGAACTCTTGCTATAAAAATAAAGTCAATGAAACTTCACTGTCTGGTGTGACACTGCCTTCTTAATAACTACGCCCCCAAGGAAGTGAATGTACAAAATCCAAAGTGAGCGAATTTCCTCATCCTGCCTTATCGTTGCAGTCTCCTGTTAAAAGGAATGCGAAGCCGGCAACATTCAGCCACATTTCCACTCAACGCGGAAGTGTCAATGCGCTGTAAAACAAAAATTGTCATTTAAAATTGGCAACTCGTTCAAACTCAACGCAGTCAAATTCCAAGCAATCACCAATTCAAACATCAATTTATTTACTCCAACGAGGATGGAAAACTGTCACAGCGGCAGACTAACAATCAAACCCTTGCGCACTACGTTGGTATGTCACTCGTGACACGACGAGTATGCCAATCAAATTGCAAGTGCCCATTTGAAATTATCATACCTTTCTACTGTTAGCTGCTGCGGTGTGCTCCTACTCTTCTTCTTTTCCTTTCAATAGTTATTATTTTTATTACTTTTATTATTGTTATTGTGGGCGTTTATTATGGTGAAGGAGAACTTGAGTGACTGAAGTGTCGGCGGGAATTATGCAAATTCTCTGTTACCTACTATGGTCATAACAGTATATTGTGGTAGCAGATAACGGTAATTGTAGCGTTGCATGCATAGTATACTTTGCTAACTTTAAAGGGTTTACAGTTATGCACTGCCCATTTAAATTTAATGACGTAATATAAGTAGGAGTGGTAGTTATGTATGTAAATAGATTGCGGGCCGAATAATTTTTCTAAAAAAAAATTACGGTATATACTTAAATTGCAATTCAGCACTTGTGAGGTATGAAATACTAAATGTGGTGTAGGAGATTATCTTGCTACAAGCACACGTTGATTGGTTGGTTGAAAGGTTTCTTCGAACGAAATGGAAAATTTCGTTTCTCTTATGCCTCCAATACATTTAATCCAAAGATCATTCAATAATTTTATGCCATCCTTATAATTACTTTCCGGAAGCTCAGCAAAATACCCGTCTACAGCTGGATTAGCTCCTTCATTTGACGAAAAATGCTTTCCACGAAGGCATGGTTTCAGGTCTCTGAAGAGGTAATAGTCGCTGGGAGCCAAATCTGGGGAATGCGGTGCTGCGAATCAGGTCTTTTCTCACGAATTTAATCATCCAGCTGGTACAAAAGGCTGCCATAATGTTCTGCAGATAATCAATCATCAAAATTTCTTTCCATCCCTAAAAACTGATCCCATTACATTCTTCGCTGATCGTTTGGACTTCACCTGCTTTGGAGCTGAACAATCATCTTTAGTTCACACTGATCCAAGTCTCATCCTTAGTTATAAAAGGATGCAAGAAATCCCTTTTATTCTGCTTAAAACTCTCTGAATTATACTTAGAGATTTGCTTTCGATCCAGTTTTTGTTGAAATTTTCCACTTGTAATTCTTAATATGAAGTACTCGTTCGTCTGTAAACTTGGATCTTCACTAACAATATTATGAACTTGCTCAATGATCTATGGTGCACGTTTAAATTCAACAGCCCAAAATTAAACGAAGCTAGCAATGCTATTTTTTGGTGAGTGCAGAAAATTTTCAACCAACCTATGCATACAAAAAAGCCGCGTAGCGAGAAAACTTAGACGAGTTCTCATGAAGAGTTCGAAAATCACCCATCAGAGACTGGGTCCCCCAATTGGACGTCAAAAAAGCGCATTGATAGAATTCGAGGAGGTGAGGAGGTGAGAAAGCACGTAGGTGTCTATTCTTGGCAAGCGTGCTCACGTAGCTAATTTACTGGTCTTTATTTCAGGTGCTACGCTTACGAGATGTGAGAATTAAGTAATGAGACTGATTCCATAAAAACCGTATATTTCAAAATTCAATGGAAACAAAAAAGTCACAGAAGGATCCAATAACGAGCGACGTCTGGGGGCACCCTGTTGACTCGTTTTCGTAATCTTTCGAGTACTTGGCGATAGTAGACTTGATTTACGGTGTGCCTAGGTTGAAGAACTTCTTTGTGGACGATTCCACGGGCAATCAAAAAAGGCAATAATCATCATCTTCCACGCTTCCACGCCCCACCTTAAACTCTTTATACCATCGAAACACCTGGACACGACTAGAAGGACTATCACCATTCACTTTTATAATTTAAGCCCTCAATTTGTCGTTGCTCCTAAATTCGTTTTCCAATTTTCCTTAAGAGCACCACGAACACACGTTTACTCCAGACGACACAGCAGGCGAACAACCAAATAAGCTAGAGCGATGACAAATGTATTAATAGAGAGGATAAGGATGCAGGGAGAAGGGAATGGGAGTTTCAAGGTCGCAGGGCTACCACAATCGAGGCAATATAATCAGTCTCATTACTTAATTGTCACACCTCGTAATTGCAACCCACATGGCTACCAAAGTGAATGCATCGTAACTTTAAGACGGAAGTAATCCATTATTCCTGCAACAGTGGCGTTCGAATGATGATGTTTTTACAAAAAAAATACAATGGGAGAAGCTTTGATCACCACCGAGTTATGGGACTGAGAGCGTGATATAGATGGACGACAGGAACGAGATAATACGATATTCTATAATTCACGAAAACGAAAGGCGGGCAACTCTAAATCTGAATAGTACAGAAGAGCAATTTTCGAAGATGTCGAGAGCGCTGTTTCCATTTCCCAGGAACTGAGCATTGCACAGCAAGCAGTTGAAACCCCTTAAAAAAGGTAGAATAAACAATGAAGCTTGATGTATTGGTGTATTGGTGAGTTAACGAGAAAAGAGTCTTAGACCGAATTTTCATCTGAGAATTTCTACTGAATCGTAACAAAATCGACTCATTTCTGAAGCAGAGGGTAACTGATGATGAAAAGTGGATCACTTACACCAAACTCAATGGTGGTGGTCGAAGGTTTTGATGTGTGCTTGGTAGAATTGATAAGGAATCATCCACTACAAGTCGCTCCCCTACGACCACACTCTTTATTCAGGTTAGTACTATCAGCAATTGAACCGAATGGTTTTGTTGGTAAAGAACATGCCTCAAGAGAAGTCTGTGAAAACTTTTACCAAAACAGACAATGATTTCTATGTGAGAAGCATAACGACATAACTCTCAAAATGAGAAAAAAGTTATCGATCGAAATGATGAGTGTTTGGAATTAATCAGATAAATCTAATAATGAATTGCTCTTTACTATAGCTTATGTAATGAAAAAAGAGGCAAACTACTGCATAAATCATGTAGATATTACCCTTAAAGTATTCTGGAATAGGATCCATCACAATATAATAAGTCAAGTAAAAAGTTCGTTCGGTTTTTATGGCGGTGATGGCGCTATTGTCCGTAGTATTAATGTTACGTGTCGCATTATGTCATACTTTACGGCGCTGAAAACGTGTTTATTCACGCTAAAGGTTTGTCTTTGAAGGTTTTTCGATTTATTTACTCAGTAATTTGTGAGCGATCGTCAAAGATGGACACCAGAAAAAAAATTCGCTTTATTTTACAATTTTTCTTCGATCAAGGCGAAAAAGCAGCCGAAGTGACTGAAAATATTAATTTCGTTTATGGGCCCGACACTGTAAACGAACGTTTAGCACAAAAGTGGTTTGCTAGGTTTCGTTCCGGTAATTTCGATGTCAAAGATGCACCACGCGTCGGGAGGCCTGTCGTCGAAAATTGCGATATAATCATGGAGCGGAGACAGACCGTCACGTGAGCACTGATTTAATTTCTGAGGCACTAAAGGTAAGAATTCAAAATGAAGCTCGATGTTTGGGTGCCACACGCACTAACGCAAAAAAATATGACCATATTTCCATCGGCGGATCGCAACGCAACCGACCCGTTTCTGAAGAAGATTGTCACTGGCGATGAAAAATTGGTCACTTACGATAACATCGAGCGCAAACGGTCGTGGTCGGGGAAGCGGTCCAGACGGTGGCCAAGACCGCATCGACGGTCAGGAAGGTTTTGCTGTGTGTTTGGTGGGATTGGCAAAGGAATCATCTACTACCAGCTACTCCCCTATGGTCAAACGCTCAATCCGGCCCTTTACTGCCAACAAATGGACCGCTAGAAGACAGCACTCTTCCAGAAGAAGCCATCTTTGATCAACAGAGGCCGAATTGTGTTCCATCAGGACAACGCCATGACACACACGTCTCTCCAGGAGCTCTGATGTCCATGGTAAACGTGCTTATTGGTGAGAAGTTGGCCACAAGCGAGACCTGTGATAATTGGATCTCCGAGTTTTTTGCCAATAGTGACGCAGCCTCCTATGAGAGGGGTAAAATGAAGTTGACATCTCGTTGGCAACAAGTTTACGAATAAACAGCGCATACTTGATTTGAATCGGAGAAATGTACATGAAATTATCTTTTGAAAAAGTCAATAAAAAAACCGAACGAACTTTTTACTTGACCTAATATAATATTATATACATATATATATATATAATATATATATATTTTTTTATACGAAAAAATTATAAAAAACTTCAAACTTGTTGTTAGCTTTAAACAGAAATCGCTTAAGCGAACTCGGCCGAGCTTCTCCTCTAATTTGCGGTTTCGCGTCTTGTGAATCAAGAAAAATATTGCCAGACCGTACAAGGTGCTTTAGATAGATTTAAGCTTTTACCACTCTTATAATCTTTTTTTCTTTAATTTTTTTTTATTTCTTTTTTCTTCTTTTTTTTTTTGAATATTAAAATTCTATATGCATTCCTTAGTTTCGGCGAATGCCAACGGACTCCAGCCTACTTTCATTTTTCAACTTCGATCGCGCTAAAACAAACAACAACTACTATAAATAGAAACCGTTG